CATAGTGACTCTGGATAGGGTTTCTGAGGAGAAGCTGGTGAGCTTGAACCGCCAGCCTTGCAGTTCAAATTAACCCACAGCGCCATGCAGTGATAAATTTTATTTGTAGTTTATTTACTTTTTAAGTTCCTCAAAAAAATGTTGACTAGTGAAGAGGTGGTGATTACGTGGAGTCGGTTTCTACTCATAGCGACCCTGCACAGGGTTTCCGAGGCTGTAAATCTTTACCGGAGCAGAAAGCCTCATCTTTCTCCCTAGGAACAGCTGGTAGCTGACCTTGCGGTTCACAGCCCGATATGAGAGTCCTGGTGTGGCTCTGTAGGTTAATGCGGCAGACTGCAAAGCTGTTTGAACTGCAAGGTTGGCGGTTCAAGCTCACCAGCTGCTCCTTGGAAACACTATCCAGGGTCGCTATGGGACGGAACCGACTCCATGGCACTTAATAATAACAACGACAATGAAGAAGTGATTACAATCTAGTGTTATTTCAGTCTCTTAAACTAGATTTATTTTACTCAAATATCATAATACCGTTTTACTGAGGATTCTTTGTAACAGCTATTAGATATTTAAAAAAAAATTTCTAAGCATCTCTTCATGCTTTCTTATGGTACCTATCCTTTATGATTGATATAAGATGAGAATAGAGTCTCCAAAACATCGTTTTCCTTTATTACTAAATTAAACTCTTCTTGGCCACACTCTATTTTTCTTTTAATGTGTAGCTAGCATTAACTTGTTTGTACTCCATATAGAAAGTTTCTATTTATGTACCTAAATAGCATTGTGATATTTTATTTTTCAACTGTCTAAAATGGTTTAATGGGATTATTTAGGGTTTTTTAAAGTTAGTAAGAATGGTTTTTGAAGGAATTTGGTCCTGTTTCTATTTTATAAGCAGAACTATATTCACTTTCCCCATAAATTACAAGGATATTGTTATAAAAAATTACATTTCTTAATTTCTAATTTACCAAGAAATTTGAACTTATTCCGATTTGTCTATCTTGCTGTAGAACTGAATATATATATATAGTTTTTGTTAAGTATTATCGAATTGGTTCCAACCCATAGCAACCCTGTATAGGGTTTCTGAGGAGCAGTTGGTGAACTTGAACCTTGCAGTTCAAACCAACTTTGAAGCCCAGTGCATTAACCCACAGTACCACACCAGGACTCTGTTATATATATTTGTTGTTGTTGGTAAGTGCCATTAAGTCAGTTCCAACCCATAGCGACCCTGTATAGGGTTTCCAAGGAGCAGCTGATGAGCTTTAACCACCGACCTTGCAATCAAACAACTTTGCAGGCTGGCACATTAACCCACAGCACCACACCAGGACTTCGTTATATATATATTTTAAATCTATTGTGTATTGATATTTATTCACGTCATATTCCTTATTTTTAATATTGAATATGTTACTTACTTTATTTTCTCCCTTAATTGTATGTGTGTGAGATTTTATCATCTGTATTTTATACAGAATCAGTTTTTGTATTATTTTATCTTTTTATTGTCACTGCTTTTAATTTTATCTTAAAATTTCATTTTCCACTTTTATTTTATTGTATTTGTAATTACTTAAGATGAATATGGGATCCTCTACTTTAAGTCTATTAAAAAATTTTAATAGTGATAATAGATATTCAAGAACATAGATTTCTCCTAAGTACCTCTGTGTTGTGCTATCTCTATGTAAGTACTTGCCATTTTATTGCTTACATGATAGAGTGTAATTTTAGTTTTGAATTTTTAATCAAAATGTTATCTAGCTTACATAATTAATTTTCAATGATATATATGGTAGTCCTGGTATGCCACTTCAGGGTAATGCACTGGACCACAAGATCAGTTTGAACTGCAAGGTCAGCAGTTCTTTACAAACTAAAAGTCTTTCATTTTAAAAGAAAAGAAAAATATAGAACATAAATACTTGAACCTATCTCATTTTACAGTTTATCAATTCATTCTTTGGTTTTAGTTGAAAGAGTCCAGATGGTAAAGTAGTGAATCCTAGACTGCAGTTTGAACCCAACATTAGTAAAAAGATGTGGCAATCTGTTAGTGTAAAGATTGTATATAAAGCCTTCAAAACCCTGTGAGGCAGTTCCACTCTGTCCTGTAGGAAGGATGGCTGTGAGTTAGAATCAACTTGATGTAAATGGTAGTTTGTTTTTGTTTTTTCGCTTAAGTTTCTAAAATTCTCCTTCCCATCAGGAGTGTGTTATTGTATTTTTCCTCAAATAGCATGTCCCCATAAATAATTCACATACATGCAAATACAAATTTGGGCTTAGAGCACCCATGCATATACCCCCATGTTTCATGACATTTAGGCCTCAGTAACCCACATTCAATAATCCAAAATATACTTTTGATTATATTTGTATAATAAAGACTAAGTCTAGTCATCTTAGTTTCATGATCAAGAAGTGATGGATGAAGTTTGACAGTACCCCAGTAAAAAATAAACTATTGAAACTGTGAGTTAGTTCTGGACCAATTTGTGGTAGGATCTGAGAGCAGTGAAGTTATTTATAGCTTATCTTTGCCCAGGCTGACCAGTTGGACACATCTCATCCAAGTGAGGATGCACAATACCTCTATACTTATGACCCTCATGCCTATCCCTAGACATTCTCATGGACAGGAAATTGAAACAGACCAGTATTGCAGCCAGCCACCTGGATGGCAAGACAGAATGTGTATTGCTGCTGCACACTAGCCTCAGGCACCTGAAGGACCACTCCAAACCAGGGTGCGCAGATACCTCTAACCTCCTAGGCTGGGGTGAAGCAGAGAAGGGATCCTGCCAGGAAATGGACTGCTTTAGAAACTGGAGGGTAGGCTGATAAAGATCTGCTTCCGAAAACCAAACCTCCACATCAACTGGCACAAATAAGAAGACTTAATATTAAATCCATTGGACAGAAATTAAAATTAAAGTCAGTAGCATGTAGAAAATATTGGTATTGTTGTTAAGTGCTGTCAACTCGGTTCCAACTCATAGTGATCCTGTATGGGTTTCTGAGGAGCAACTGGTAAGCTTGAACTGGCGAACTTGCAGTTTAACTGACCTTGTGGTCCAGTGCTTTATCCTACAGCACCACACCAGGACAGTGCACTTATAAAAATAACGCACAGGGATTGTGCAGCATGGAAAATCGTGTAATGTGTGCATTATTTGCATAATAATATGGTTCTCAGGTCATCTTAAAGGGTCCAGATAATGCTGTAAGATAGGCACTGAACTGCAAATAACAAGGTCTGTGGTTTAAACCCACCAGCCACTCTGCAGAAGAAGCATGAGGCTGTCTGCTTCTGTGAAGAGTTACAATTCTGGAAACTCTTGGGAATGTCATAGCCCAAGCATGGGCTGGCCCCATGGTGGTTGTGGGTCACTGTCCACTATGAGTGGGAATAGAATGGGAGGCAGTGAGTCTAGTCATCTTAGCTTCATGCTGTTTTGTCAATTCTAATTTCTTTCATCACATTATTATATTAATATTCCATATCAATGTGAATTGGTATGGAATATTACCAGGATACGCTGAACATCGTTTTTCAAACTCTATCACATTTTCCTCCAACCTATACTACATTTGTTGTTCTTGGTAAGTACCATGGGGTTAATTTCGACTCATAGCAACCCTGTATAGGATTTCCAAGAGCAGCTGGTTTGTTTGAACTGCCAACTTTGTGATTCTCAGCCCAGGGGTGCTCTACACCTGGAGTTCATACCACATTTAGTGTCCTAGTATGGTGCTGTAGGATGAGCACTTGATTACAAGGTTGGTTTGAACCACAAGGTTCAAACTCACCAGCCACTCCTCAGAAACCGTATGTAGGGTTGCTATGGGTCAGACTGACTCAACAGCACTAAACAGCAACAGCAATGGACTTTGGTGTGGTGGTGCAAGAAAACTGCAAGGTAAACAGTTCAAATCCACCTGCTGCTCTTTGGAAACTTTATATAGGGTTGCTTTGAGTTGAAGCCTACTTGAAGTCACTTAACAAGAATAGGCTTCGAAGTCCTGGTGTGGCACCAGGGACTAAGCAATGAACTCACAAAGTTGTCTGGTCAAAACAATCAGTCACTCCTTAGAAACCCTGTACAGGGTTGCTATGAATGGGAACCAACTTGAGAACACTTAACAACAACAACAACAACAATAATAGGCTTTAGCTGCTGTTTTCAATTCCCTCTTCATCTGTGGGACCTAGAGCTTTCCTTTATTTACTATAAGTAAATAATGGAGTCCTGGTGTGGCACTGTGGGCTAATGCATCAGACTGCAAAGCCATTTGAACTGCAAGGTTGGTGGTTCAAGCTCACAAGCTGCTCCTCGGAAACTCTATATAGGGTCATTTGGGTTGGAACCAACTTCACAGCACTTAACAACAACAAGCTAAATAATGAAAATAATAGTTACTAAATTTTGCATGTTTTTACACTGGTAATATTTTCCTGGTATTTAAGTCTATTGCATTTTCTTAGTGCTGAAATTATAATGCATTCATAAAAAAAACATTGCTTTTAATCACTGTATTAAACATTATTTATAACTTCTAGCCTTATAATAGTATCATGTTGGATGTCATTGTTAAATAGATTTGAAGTAAAGGATATAAATAGTAATACCAGTAAACTTAGGAGAGCAGTTGCTTCATAGGTTAAGCACTGGACTGCAAACCATAAGGCCTGCAGTTTGAGCCCGCCAGTCACTCAGCAGGAGAAAGATGTTTATCTTGCTGTTGTAAATGTCTCTGCTCTTGAAAAGATTTAAAAGTCTTGGAAACCCTATGCATGGTAGAAACCAGCTCCATGGCACTTAACAACAACATCAGTAATTTAAAGCAGTTTTAAATATGTTAAATAAATATGTCAATAAAACTGGATGAGAAATTATTAAGATACAACTATATTAAAATTTTTATCAGAAAAATTGGAGATTATTTATCTTTACATGTATATTCATCAAATACTGTTTTTTATATTACTTCTTTGAGAGAAATGCAATTCTTTTGATTGAGTCAATGAAAGCTTTTTTCACTTGCTTATTTCTTAGGGTGTAAATAAATGGGTTCAACATAGGTGATATAGAAGATATGAGCAAATACACACCTTTATTAAGCGCCACCTCTTCCTTTGTTGATGGTTTGACATACATGAAGATGCAGCTGCCATAGGTAATAGAAACCACAATCATGTGGGACGAACAGGTGGAAAAGGCTTTTTTCCTTTGCTGAACAGAAGGAAATCTTAGAATGGTCATGATGATATAAATATAGGATAGAAGTACACACAAAAGGGTCATGATGAAAGTCAACACAGCACACACTAAAATAACTTTCTCTATAAGCCACGTGTCAGAGCATGAGATCTTTAGGAGGGGGGTGGCATCACAGAAAAAATGATCGATGACATTAGAGTCACAGAATTCCAGGCTTAGACCAAGGCTAAGTGGAGGGATTATGATTAACAAACCAACCGTCCAACAACTGATGAGAAGCCTGTTGCAGACTCTGTTGCTCATGATAGTCATGTAATGCAAGGGTTTACAGATAGCCACGTAGCGGTCAAAGGACATTGTGGCCAGGAGAAAAAATTCCGTTATGCCAAAAAGGTAAGTAAAAAATATTTGAATAGCACAAGCATTATAGGTAATGATTTTGTCACCAGTTGATATGTTGTACAAAAATCTAGGAATGCAAGCAGTTGTGAATGAGATTTCTAAGAAGGAGAAATTTTGTAGAAAAAAGTACATGGCTGTTCTAAGATGGCTATCTATGAGGGTGAGGAGGATAATGGTCAGGTTTCCAGTCACACTCAACAGGTAGGTAAGAAACAGAAAGATGAAAACTAGAACCTTCAGTTGTGGGTCATCAGTCAGTCCCAGCAAGATGAATGTTGTTATTGTACAATTTCTCATCATGGCTTCCTGACTTTTTTCTCGTCTGTATAAAAAATTCAGAAACACTTAAAGAAGTGAAATCAATAATCAGCTCTCAATAGTAGTTAAGCAAGCCAAGGAAATGAACACGACCATCTTAAAGTGATCACTTTCTCTATGTGATCATATAATTTTAAATTGTATACATATAAGTGGTAAATATCTTTTCATGTTTGCTGTATTTTCTAACAGAATAATTTTCTTTGTTCATGATTCTCTTTTCTTATTGTACTATCAATGAGTTCTGAAAGCCTTTGATAAATATTTTATGAGATTTTTAAATTCCAAGGTTACTTGTTATTTTTTGTATGTTTTCTTGAAATTATAGAGTTTTGCACAAGGTACAACCATAGTAGATGAAACTGAGATGATGTGCTGAAGGAAATCTTTGCAACCTAACTATTGTCTCATTATCTCAAGTCATGACCTCTTAGGGCATCTCTGAGATACTAAACTCAATCACTCACATACCTGTCAGTATTAAGTGTTCTAAAAATCTTAGGATATATATATATTTTTTTCTTTTCATTATAGTAGTACATCCATGATACTCAGGTTTTTTTTTTTTTTTTAGTCCTTACAAATTAGGAATTGAAAAAGCAATTCACCTTAATGTGTAACTGGCTCATTTTTGTTTATCTTAACATGCAAATGAATAATGAGAAGAATATCAAATGAGACAATGACATTATCTACGTGAACTTCTTTTACTTGAGATTGATAGTCCTATTTATGTGTGCATCTTTTTGTTGTTATTGTCAAGCTATAATTTAAGGTAAGGTATGTTTTTCTTTCCTTTGTATAAAACACTATTTATATTAACTAATATATAAAAAAGAACACATCCACATTTGTATCCATCTAAGTATAATTCAAGGAGTCCTGGTGTGGCGCTGTGGGTTAATGCGCCAGACTGCAAAGCCATTTGAGCTGCAAGGTCAGCAGTTCAAGTTCACCAGCTGCTCCTTGGAAACCCTACTATATAGGGTCACTATGGGTCGGAACCGACTCTACAGCACTTCACAACAAGTATAAATCAAACAACATATTTCACTCTGCAAATGTTCTACAAAAGAGTCTTTAAAGTGTTACAAAAACAACAACAGAAAAGCAAAGATATCACCTTGAGGACTAAGCACTTGACCTAAGTCATGGTGTTTTCAATTGCCTCAATTGCATACAAAGTTGAACATTGAATAAGGGAGACTAAAGAAGAATTGACACATTTTATTTAAGGCAAAGAAGAATTGCATATGCCATGGACTACTAGAAGAACTAACAAATCTGTCTTGGAAGAATTAAAGCCAGTATGCTCCACAGAAGCAAGGATGGGGAGACTTCAACCCGTGTACTCTTGATATGTTAACAGAAAGAATCAGTCCCTGGAGAAAGATATCATGCTTGGTAAAGTACAGGATCAGTAAAAAAGAGGAAGACTGAGTGAGATGGATTTATACAGTGACTGTAGCGATGGGCACAAGATTTGTATGTATGCACATGATTGGGCAATATTTCTTTTTGTTGTGCAGAGGGTCTACTCAAGTGTGTCAAACAACAACAATAACAAAATTATAATACAATTTCAAAATGATGTGTAAATAAATTTTTGTTTCATTACAGAATGGGGAAACTGGCACTAACAACTATTATTTTATAAAGGCAAATATATTTTTACATAGAATTATATGACCATTTATTACAAAGACAATTGAAAAGGAAAACTTTACTTACTCTTATGGTAGGCAATCATTACTTCAGAGTGGTTGTCTAACAAACCTAGTTTTTAAGGTTAAAATTTATCTGTGGCTTTCTAGTCTATTGTTCATAATTCTAATCTATATTCACATGAGGCCTTGGAAATACATGGACCTCTCTCTTATTAATCACTAAAATTTTAAAGATATTCTTCACAAAGGACTTTAATTATAAACCTATGAAGTACTTTCTTATACTGTCTATATCTGAAAATGAGAACCGGTTCTGAGTATTGAGAATTATCATGAATTCTCTAAGATTATGGTGGTGGTGGTTATGTGCCGTGGAGTCAGTTCTAACTCTGAGATTATAAAGGTGTTGATATGCTGATTTCCCTGGGTTGTTCAAGGTTTATGCAGGTTTGCTATTTGTTTTGGTTAGTAAACCTGTAGCTAAAGGAATAAAATTGTTCTTGGCGTCTCAGTTCGAAAAATCACTGTGGAATCTGTTCTGGAACATCTTGGCAAAATGCCTAAAACACAGTGTGGGATTGGTATTCTCAGAGGACTGAAGTTAAAACAGCTTAGAAATTAAAACAGAGACAATAAGAATCAGATGAGTCAGTATAATTAATTTTGATTTATGTTTATACCACCTAAAGCAGTTTGAAGATCAAAGAATCCTCACTTACTCTTGTGTTTACCTATTATTTGAAAAAATAAAATTCTTTTATCAGTCAGATAAAATGTGTATAATCTTATAGTTTAGGGATAACTATTAAATTTTTGAAAAAGACCCTTTCAGGTTATAATTCAACAAATATATTTCTATGTATTGTATGTAACAACTAGAAACACTTGAACAAAAGGCCTACTACATACAATTGTGAATAAACTGTCTTGCTGTTGTTACTGGTTGCCATCAAGATGATTGGGACTGATGACAACCTCAGGAGTGCAAAGTAGAACTGTACCAGTGGATTTGGAAAGCTGTCACATTTCAAAACAGATTGTCAGACCTCACCCTCAAGGCTTCTCGGGTTGGGCTTCAGGGCCACTCTATTAGTTTGTTTGTTGTTGTTAGGTGTCATCAAGTCGGTATCGACCCATAGTGACCTTATGCACAGCAGAACGAAACACTGCTGGATCCTAACTCAACCTCATTACTGTTGCCACGCTTGAGTCCATCGATGCTCCCTCTTGGCCAATCCATCTCGCTGGAGGTCTTCCTCTTTTTCTCTGACCCTCCACCTTACCAAACATGATAGCCTTCTCCAGCGACTGGTCCCTGCTCACAATATGTCTGAAGTATGAGAGATGAAGTTTGGCTGTCATAGCCTCCAAGGAGCACTCTGGCTGCACTTCTTCCAAAATGGATCTATTGGTTCTTTTGGCAGCCCATGGCACTTTCAATATTCTCCTCCAACACCATAACTCAAAAGCATCAATTCTTCTACAGTCTTCCTTATTCACTGTCCAGCTTTCACATGCATATGAGGTTATTGAAAATACCATGGCTTTTGTCAGGCACACCTTAGTCCTCAAAATGACATCTTTGCTGGTGAACACTTTAAAGAGACAACCACGTAGTTGTCAGCTTCAAAGTGGCCGAACCAGTCCATTTCAGCTTACTAATGCCTAAGATATCAATGTTTATGAGCGCTTAAATATTTGCACCATCAACGTATGTTGTTGTCATTTATTGCCGTTGAGTCACTACTAACTCATACGATCCTTTGTTGGGTTTCAGAGGAGTGGTTGGTGTGTTTGAATCACTGACCTTGCGAATAATTGTCCAGTGTTTATCCTATAGCACCACACTAAGACTATCAAGGTATGTTGTTGTTGTTAAGTGCCATTGAGTTAATTCTGACCCATATTGGCCCTTTATAAGGTTTCTGAGGAGCTCCTGGTGAGCTTGAACCTCCAACCTTGCAGTTCAAACCAACCTTGCAGTCCAGCATATTAACCCACAGCGCCATATCAGGACTCTGACTGTCGCATTTTTTTCGCTGGTGACTTTCACTCTCGGGGTGTCTAAAGACTTAGTTCCACCACGTCACCGTTTCTCAGTCCTCCAATGAGCATTCACTTGTTTTTATGTGCCGTAGAGTCGGTTCTGACTCATAGCGACCCTGTACAGGATTTCTGAGACTATAAATCTTTACGGGAGCAGAAAGCCTCATCTTTCTCCCATGGAACAGCTGGTGGTTTCGAACTGCTGACCGTGAGAGTAGCAGCCGGATTCATAACAACTATGCTACCAGAGCTCCGTAGAAGCTCTTTTTGGCAAAACGAAAATATACTTCAGAAAGAAATGTGGGCTTGTCTGTGTGAGTGGAGAAGACCTGGTAGAATTGGGGAGCATAGATTAAGTCAAAGCTACTGCAAAGTCAGTGTGAATCACAAGGTCAGAGGTTCAAGCTCATCAGTTGCTCCTCAGAAGCCCTATACAGAGTAGCTATGGGTTGGGGCCAATTTGATGGCACTTCACAACAGCAGTGGAAAATGGGGATAAAAATATATGCAAGTAAATAAAATCACAGCTAGCCATGCATTCATTACTAATCATAACATATAATACACTGAGAGGTATAACTAACTCAACTATCAGTATCTGAGTATTGAGAAAAGCAGCTTTCTGAAACTCAGTTTCCCCATAATGTCTTAGAAACCATATGTGCATGTGTGTGGGGGAGTGGTTTGCATTTCTTTGATCTCTTTTAAGGAATTATCAGAAATATATTAAATGGTACATTCTTAAATCTTAGTCAATGATAACTATGATCATCATTGTTTTTAATACATGTTTTCCAGGACACTGATATTAAATATTAATTTCTATCTCTAATTTGTAGTAAGTTACATTATGCTATTCTTTTCTATTTAGTTTGTAGTCTAAAGTATGCAGTTATTTTTATCTCTTTTAGCCTTTTCCAGTTTAAATAGGAGTTATCCTTTCTGTTATTTATTTTACTATAGATGCTGTTGATTTTACTAATGTTTATTTTTTCAGTGATCAAAATGGACTATAAGATACTATTTTAAATCAGAAATTGTAATATGTGGCATGTACTCTGAGGGACGGAGGAAGCATGGGTAAAATACCCATAGAAATATTATCTCTTTAAGTGCAGAACGAAATGAAAAACATTTCTAGAAGAGGTGGTAGTGGTGGTGGTTGTATGCTGTCTATTCAATTTCAGCTCATAGCGACCCATAATAGGGTTTCCAAGGCTGCATATCTTTACAGGAGCAGAAAATCATCTTTCTTCCATGCACTGG